ACGGATTGTAATATATGTTTAAAAATTTATGAAACATAATAAATTAGTGTTTTATAGAATCTTGTATATTTATATATAGTAATTTGATTTTCTTTCATTTTGTTTTTATAAAAAAAATAATTATTTTTTTATTCTTTAGATATCCATTAAGTATCACCATTGGACATACAAAAATTAAAAAAAAAAATTAAAAAGTCTCAAAGATTAAAATAGTATTAAAATTAATAGTAAATTAATGTTGGTGATACCCTAAAGATATCACCGATAATAATGCTCTTATGTGTTTAACTGTCTTTTTGCTTTAACTTTTTTTTTTCAAAAACAATTGCTACATGTTATCCTTTAATTACAGAAATTACTTGTGATTTAGTATAATAAAGATTCATCTTTTGTTTTTTTATTAATTAAGGTTTTAATTTTTATGTTAATAAAATATGCTAAATTGGCCACAAAACAAATTAAGCCTTATAAGCCCAAAGAATAACTAACTTCTTTGATCTTCTCTAAACATATCATTTGTATCAGAATTGACGGCCTCCGTTAACAAATCCAACGCTTCCGATATACTACATCCATCGTCGCTTCCTACTCCGATTCGTCCTCTTCCACCGCGCTTCCAAACGCCTCTTTTAATCGCGATTCCAAGGCGATTCCGGACGATTCCACTTCCGGAGCGCGAAGCGCACCACCACCAGCGATTCCATGCTACTAACAAAGCAAAGGATTTTCTTCTTCAATTAGCGATTAACTATCCAATTCCAATGTACTGTTCATAAATCTAGATCCAGTTGCATAACCCGTTTTGTGAATTCCCAATTTGAGTTTTCTTTTTCCACGGAAATTTCTATTCAATTCGTAACTCTCACTAGTCTCATTCGGAATATTATCGTGAACGAAAGTTGTTCGGCGAAATGCCAGAGAGAGAGAGAGTTGTTCATAAGACTAAGCAAACGTACAAACATTTCATTTTCCTCGGATTCTTTTTGATCTTGTATCGTCTGTGCAGATCTATTTCCATGGCGCCAAGGTGGAAATGGAAAGGCGCTGAGGCAAAGGCGCTTACAGAACCTATTTCAAAAACAGTCTTAGATCTCCAATCTTCTTTGTCTCAAACCGAGGCCTCGGGTTTCCTCACATTGCAATGTCCTACTATCCGTTGAGCCAGAGCAAGCTGAGCTTTTGGACCGCAGTTGTTTTGGTAGACCTGTTGTTTGTGCCGAGAAAGACAAGAGATGGATCCAGTTAACTTTTGAAGAAGCTTTCTTTTTGTTCTACAAGCTGAAATGCATCAAGATTTCCCTTCAAGGTAGTTTCTTGGAGAACGAGGTTGACTTATGGCGATTCATAAGATTCTTTAAGCCAAACTTTGCTACATCTTACAAGGCTTATTCTCACCTACGGTTAAAGAACTGGATTGTTGATGCAGCGTATCGTTGGTGTTGTTGGTCGTTGAGCATACGGACAAGTGTGGAGTTACGTGCTCAACAAGTTTCATTTCTNGTTTTGTTTTTGATTTATTTTTCTCTTATTGANTAGGATAAAGTTTAACAACTTNTCAGTTTAGATTTAGGATTAGATCGTATCTTTGTCNTTTTGGCTTTATAAAGAGTCTCAAGTCTTTGTATCAACATCATTGATTTGAAGTTAATAAGAAAACCCAAAAGAGGCAATCTTAATTGCCCAAAGATCTTGCCTTCGTGTNGGACCTNAGAGGAGNACTCTCANCTCTATCCACTTCGTGCCATCTCGTTTCGTTTCCGCTCTCACAAACCAACCATCTCGGCCATCATTCAATCACATCATTCCATCAACCTCCCCTGTTTTCACGTGCTCTGTTTTTACGTTCCGAAAGCAGAGACTCACTTCTTGACAATCTTCCGCCTCTACACCAGTTGGTATCAGAGACTTGTCGTTCCTGGCAGTGAATCCTACATCAATCATGCCTCCGAAACCAGCAGACACTGGTGATGAGAAAGCTCCGGATAACACCATTAATTGGATCGAGTTTCGTGACACTATGCTCGCTTCTCAAACGTCGTTGCGGAACTCCATCAATGAATTGATTCAAGCACTCCTTCATAATCGTGTGCATGACAATCCTCGTCCTATCGCTGCAGCCGCTAATCACCAACAAGATCAACAAGTGAATCCGATGGCTCTTCAAGGACAGCAAGTGAACCCGATGGCTCTCCAAGGACAACAAGTGAATCCGATGGCTCTCCAAGGACATCAAGTGAACCCTATGGCTCTCCAAGAACATCAAGTGAACCCGTTGGCTCTACAAGATCAACAGCCACAGGATTTCGCACTTGTCCGTCATCATGATCGACGACAACAAGAAGCGCGTCATGTTGATTATCGTTGGGAGACTGGGTTTCGT